TGAAGAGCTGAGGGACAGCACCCAGGCCCAGAGTTCAGGCCCCACGACTGGACCCCCCCAAAAAATAATAAATTTAAAAAAAAAAAAGAAAAATATGTTTGCACAAAGTATCACCCCATTCCATTTATTGTTTCTGGGTTTCAGTTGGATTTAGGATCTGAAAATGCACTTGCAGGTAGTTAGTTATTCATGGCAAAGGAGTCTCCACGCCAACTGTTTTCATATTGTAGGTTTCTAAATCCCTGACCTGATACTGTTATTTTAAGATTAAGTGGGTTGAATTTACTAATGTACATTATGGCATCATGTAAATTAGAGTTCCATGCTCTCTCCTAGCTTGAGATTAAATAATACATGATAGAAAATATATAGTGAGTAATGCACTAGAGTTTTCTAAAACTATTTTTCCCACAAGGTAAAATGGAAAGACCCAATAAGTCTGTTTCCAGACATACTAAATGTATTTATGTATTTTAAAACGCCACTCAGTATAAAGCAATTTCTCTATGCCAAGCATCTTTAAACTCACTTCTCTGTTTTCAATCCACCTGTTCATTTCCATTTTAGAAAATGTAGAAGACTGACAACGTTTTTAGGCTGCAAACCTAAATGTCCACAGTTTTAAATTCCAGCAACTGTTAATATCTCAGAATTTGACATGATGACATTTAGTTCAAGAGTACATAGCTGTCAGCTTTAACAATTCATATCAAGCTACACCTTCCTACTTCATAATGTGGTTGCGTTCCTCATTTACATGACATTTATTTGTGACATTAATTTATGACTCAACCCACATATCAAAGGAAAGTGATGTATGTTGGTGAAACATTACTTCTAAGAGTAAAAGAAAAAGCCCACACCTGTATATTACTATAAATGAGAGGCGTGTTTGCTTATATTCATAAAGATATTCCTTCACAAAGACCAATGCGGATCCTACTGCATCCATTTAACAAAGTAGCTTTGCCAGGTTGCTGACAGTAGTGCTGTGATCTCAGAGTAGCTGTGTAGGATGATTTTGCCATTGTCAAGAAATCTCTAGTAGGGCACTGGTGGCTCATGCCTGTACTCCTAGCTACTTAGGAAGCTGAGATCTGAGGATTGCGGTTAAAAGCCAGCCAGGCAGGAAAGTCCATGAGTGGAGCTGTGGCTCAAAATGGTAGAATGCTAGCCTTGAGGGAAAGAGCTCAGAGACAGTGCCCAGGCCTGAGTTCAAGCCCCAGGACAGAACAAAAAATAAAACAAAACAAAACACCAAAAAGTCTCTAATTTTAATTTACACAATTGGCTTTCTTTTCCCTCTTACAAACTCTCTAGACATTCCTATTATTTAAAAAAAAAGTACTGAGCAACAAAATGCATAATGTATCTCAAGGAGATTTAATGTTTTTCAGATTTTTTTTGGAGATTAAAACCTCCCCTTCTAACTCTTAGCCCTCTGAAGAAATACACAATTCCCTTTCACAGACATTCATGATAATATTTATAAGCTTACCAAGAACTTTTTTTTGGTCAGTCCTGGGGCTTGAACTCAGGGCCTGAGCACTATCCCTGACTTTTTTTCCCTCAAAGCTAGCAGTCTACCCCTTGAGCCACAGTACAATGTCCGGCTTTTTCTGTGTATGTGGTACTGTGGAATCAAACCTAGGGCTTCATGAATGCTAGGCAAGCACTGTACCACTGAGCCACATTCCCAGCCCAACAAGAACTTTTGAGTTTGGTAGTTCCTTATATGATTCACTAATGCCTGTTTCAGATACTTACCAATGAGTAATAAAACAATATTCAATACACACAAAAATTATATATAAATGCTCACAGAAGTTTTATTCCTATCTGGAAATAACTGAGATGCCCATGGATACATTTTACTATATTCATACAATGGATTCTGTAGCACTAAAAATAAAAGAACTATGTGATATAAAACACATAGATGAATCTCAAAAACATGCTGTTCAAAAAGGAAATAAGACAAAAGGATCTATAGCTAAAAATTAGGCAGCGAGCTGGGGATAGTGGTAAATACCTGTAATACCAGCATTCAGGAGGTGAAAGAAGAAGGATCACAAATTCACGATCTGCCTGGACTGCATACTAGTTTAATGCCAGTATAGCAAGACCTTTGAAACATCAAAACCAACAAAAGACAAGGAAAAACTAACCAACCGAGAGAGAACTTACTTGTTCAAAATACACTATGAGGGAGGCTGGGAAGAGATGTGAAGGGAAAAAAAAGGAGGCTGCTGCAATGCTTGATAAAAAATGTACTCATTATCTTGCCCATGTAAGTGTAACCCCTCTGTACAGTATGTTCACAAAAAATAAAAATTAAAATTAAAAAAATACACTATAGGCATCTATGAAATTATCACAATGAAATTCCTTTGTATTATCAACGTATGTTTTTTAAAAAAATATATTTAAAGTACACACTTAAAGTAAGTATACTGTAAAATGTGCACCAGTAGCTCACACCTATAATCCTAGTTACTCAGGATAATGAGATCTGAGGATCAAGGTTCAAAGTGAGCCAGGCAGACAAATTTGAAAAACACTTATTTCCAATTAACCAGCAAAATAAAGTGAAATTGTGACTCAACTAATAGAGTACCAGTCTAAGTGAAAAATATCATTGAGAGCTGAAGGCCTGAGTATAAGCCCCAGTACCAACACACACACACATAAACACACACAAAGTATACTGTATATAAATTATAAATTATGCACCAATAAAGTTGATTTTAAGAATGAAAAAGTTTATTTCTGTGTCAGTTTTTGTCTTTACTCTTGTATTTATTCCTTCCTCTGTTTTGCTCTATAATTCAGGAGGGCTGACTCTTTCAAACTGTACTCACTAGGGTCCTATGACAACTCAATTATCGATATGATTTACTCAT